GAAAATAAAGTACAATGAATAGTAATTGCCTTAGACTTGCCCTAGACTTTGCCCTTGTGGGTGGAACCACAAATGCAAAGGCTGACACTATTCACATGAATAGTAACAGCCCTTGCTTGCCCTTGCCCTAGACTTTGCCCTTGTGGGTGGAGATGCTCTAATAAGGGCCCAATTTCTAGGCTGCAATTGGTGTAGATGTGACAGCCAAGAATTTTCCATTTCTCTTACTATTTTCTAATAAGTTTTTATTTTCTACAGTTTTTATTTGTTGGGACTCTGGGAGTCAGGGGAGTGAGGGTTAACTTTCACCTTCTTCAATCTCTGTGTGTATGTGTGTGTGATTATTCACTCTTTTCTCTTTAGCCCCAGAAAAACCCTAAACCAGTCTTGACCTCAAAACCTCAAAAGCAATCGAAATGCACCATCTTTCTAAGAATGCGTGAATATACACAGAAGAAGAGCATGAAGAAGCAGAGAAAGGCAAAGACTTGCATTGCTTTGATGTGATGAGATGAGATGAGATCGTCCTCTTATACTCTGCTCTCTCGCCTCCGCCATACCCATCGCTTCAATTCGCGCTGCCAATCCCAATTTCTGCTCTTTCACTACTCAGACCCCAAGCTCATACAAAATAACGACTGCAGCTTCTCCCAGAACGCTCCGTTTAGCTCCTCCGCTCACACTCTGCTGCGCGGTCTGGTTTCGTCATCTGCTTGCTCAAAACGGCTCGTTCTGCTCGACTTGGTTTCTTCTGGTAGTGTTGTTCACCATCAACATCAGCACTTGTTCCATCGCAGTAGGTCCTTTTGAATTTTTTGAGAATTTGTAAATTTTTATTGGGAAAGTGGTCAGTAGCTCAATTTAGCTGAGAGCTTTGTGTATATGGGTAACTGGGTATGCATTGATTTGCAGATTTCTTTACTAGAGCTAAACAGGTCAAGATTCAATTCAATGACGAGCACAGGTACCCAGCACAAAAATGTTTGAAATTTTCCAATTTTGTACATTTATTGTTAATTTCTTTAATTACTGGGAATTTCATTAAACCCCTCTGTTTTTGCACCAAATCTGTAATACTAGTCAAAGGGCAGTCACAACTGCATTGTGGTGCAACTTCCTTGTGTTTTCTCTCAAATTTGGTGTCTGGTTATCAACCGCTAGTCATGTTATGTTTGCTGAAGTTGTTCACTCAGTTGCAGATTTTGCAAATCAGGTATTGGGTTCATGCTGGCTGATGTCTATTCTAAATCAATATTGTTGTGGTTTCTCATTTTACGATTAACTCAATTCATTGTACATTTAATGCAAAGAAACTAATCCATGTTGATATTGTAGGCGCTTCTTGCTTATGGTTTGAGTAGCTCAAGGCGTGCACCGGATGCTCTCCACCCGTGAGTCTTTCAATATCATGACCACCTTTTTGCATCATTGATAAAACCTTCGTTAGCTCTCATTCTTTCCTTTTTTTTCTTTTCTCAAGACAAGTTTTACATTATGTAACCGTCTCTAACTGGTAATTTAAGATACCAGATGTTTCTAAAGAAAAGCTTCATAAGGAAGAAATCTAGGATCTAAAATAAAATTTAGCCATTAATTAGATTGGTTCAAGTACTTTGATGATTCTAGGAAACAAGTTGAATTCGATGGTAAAAGTGCATAACATAGAAGTCAAGATCTGTGATTAGAAACTAACTACTTGCATTTATATTATTCTCTGTTCACGAAGAGAATTCATTCTAATTATCTTGCGATATCTTTGATTCTGGCAGTTATGGATACTCCAAGGAAAGATTTGTCTGGTCTTTGATATCTGCTGTTGGTATCTTTTGTCTTGGTTCTGGTGCGACTATTGTTCATGGATTTCAAAACTTGTGGACTTCACAGGTTATTGACTAATTGAGTTTTTACTTGGAAAATTTGTTACCCAAACTTCTGTGTGCTCTTTTCTTTTTAATTTTTCATTCTTCTCTGTTGTGTTCGTAAATTCAATTGTGGTTTTTATTGAATTTGTCTGCCTCTTCCTCAGCCCCCTCCAAATATTCAGTATGCAGCTCTTGTGATTGGTGGCTCATTTATTATTGAAGGTACAACTCAATGCATTTTCTTTTAAGGATGATTGGGGGATTATTTTTTACTTTTTTCTTTCTCATGCTCTCGCGTTAAAACTTTGAATCCATTCCTCAGGTGCTTCTCTTCTTGTTGCCATACAAGCTGTCAAGAAAGGTGCAGCTGCTGAGGGCATGAAATTGAGAGACTACATTTGGCGTGGCCATGATCCCACATCTGTTGCTGTCATGACGGAGGTAATCCACTGAGTCGCTGTTCCTTTATTCCCTTAAGGTTGTTGGAACATGTTTGTTTACATGATTGCAGGTGAATGGATCAGAATTGAATTGTTAGAAAGGAAGAAATGATTAGTAGAGAAAAGGGGAAGAATGATAATTTCAGTAGTACCAATGAGTACATTAGAGTATGCTTAATTGCTAAACTTTGAAAATGAGCTTATCTACTTAAACCTTGTAGACCTCCCATCTGATCGTGGCCAATCCAAATTTCTAGTGCGTTCTATGCTAAGGTGTTGGAGCAAGAAACTATCTTAAACAACCACACCCAACATGCAACTTCATTGAAAACCTTCACTAACCGAAGCCTAAAGTTAATTGAGAAAAGATGAAGCCACACATCTTGTTTAGCATTGTCTAGTTCATTCTCTGTGTGGTAGTAGTTGTCAAGTTACTTTTCAGTAGGCCATTGAATACAGTTTTTCTGGTATGATAACAAGCTATAACCCTTTGTAAATGATCTCATATATGCAGGATGGCGCAGCTGTAACTGGTCTTGCTATTGCTGCGGCATCATTGGTTGCAGTGAATAGAACAGGAAATGCAATTTATGATCCCATAGGATCAATTGTAGTTGGCAACCTACTTGGAATGGTATGTAATACTTCTTCTAAAGTTATACAGGAACTGCAATAGAATACCATATTGCTGTCTAAGGAAAATGATGTGAATATCTGCAATACAATGCTAATCTTGAAGTTGTGGATTACCAAATCTTGGTTATCCCATAATAATAATAAACGAACCAAATACACTACAGATTGTGACTCCGTCACTTGGTAAAACTATGATTGTACAACTGAATTGAATCTAACATGCAGGTGGCTATTTTTCTGATCCAAAGGAATAGGCATGCGTTGATTGGTAGGGCAATGGACGACCATGATATGGAGAAGGTTCTCCAGTTCTTGAAAAATGACCCGGTATGATTATGTTCAATGATGTTTTTTTTTGGTAATTGATGTACCCTCATGTTTTTAAGGTTATTAAATATCGCTGATTTTTTTTATAGGTTGTGGATTCTCTATATGATTGCAAAAGCGAGGTGATTGGTCCTGGGTTCTTCCGATTTAAGGCTGAAATAGGTGACTTTCTTTTCATCTCCTATTCTTTCTTTTCTCGATTATTCTTGGGTTAGGTTTCCAGTTAAACCTAGGTTCTGACAAATCACTACTGTTCTAGTATTCATAGGTTTGGGAGATATTGATAAATCAAAAGTCAATCATTATCAGTATCATTAGCAACTTATTGGCACTATTAACATGCAGACGTTGCAGCACTATTTTCTTTTGTAATTTGATTATTACTAAAACTTTAGTTTACTATTTAAACTCTATTGTCTTTCTCTTTAGAAGTCTGTTATTTCTATTAGTTTGCATCTGGCATTATTGGAATATCAATGTGATATAATGGTCGCTATCTGCATGGGACAGATTTCAATGGAGTGGTGGTAGTTCAAAATTATCTCCACAGGACTGGGCGTGAAGAATGGGCTAAGCAGGTTAATTATCTCTATAGATCTCTTTTGTTTTTTCATTTCTTTTTCTGGACCTACAAACCTTCTTTGTAGTAAGTAATTCCTTGGTGTACTTGCTGATTGCTGAGTGTCATATATGAATAATGTTGATTTGCTACAGTTTCGTGATGCTGCAAAGGAGAAGGATGATACTGCGTTGCTTAAAATCATGTCAAATTATGGTATGTGTTATGATTTTTATATTTATTTAAAATTTTATTGTTTTGGTGATTGAGTTGAACTTGCATTGCAATATATTATGACTTATCTTTCCTGTTGCAGGTGAAGAGGTAGTGACAGCCTTAGGAAGTGAAGTTGATAGGTTGGAAAAGGAGATCCAAGAGCTTGTTCCCGGTATACGGCATGTCGACATCGAGGCACACAATCCAATAGACCTATCCCAGTGATTTACATATTTCTTTATCTATGCGGTAATGCTTGATCATTCTTTTCAGAAAATCTGCATGTGCTATCATTCGATTAATGACATGAGCGGCTTCTTGCTTCTTTAGGCGGGATATAGAAACGTATATATCAACTGTCAATAGTAAGTTAAAGATCCCACAGATATATAACAATGTATCTGTCAAAATTTGCTTGCATGCGATTTGCCAATGCTTGGTTTAAGAGATTTTTCCAGTGTTGTGATAGTCAGCTTTTTTCTCCTCCACCCGACAAGGATAACCAGCTTTATTTAAGAGCATTATTTGTTGATTGTGCTAAGTTATGTATTTTTTTTCTTCTGAATATTAGAACTTTTAGTGCTCCTTAAGAGCGCCAACAAGCCTTTGTTGTGTTCAAATTTATTCGGCTCTAGCAATGCCTGTTTAGCTGGTTCTGCTCAGATTGGTTTTGTGCTGATTGTGTATTCATGTTGTCCTCATTCACTCAACTTCAATACAAAGCTGATGTATAAAATTTTAATCAAATGCCACCCGTCAAAACAAAAACTGATGTTTCAAACCCATCCCTTGTGAGATAAGTCTCAATACATCTCCACAGAGGAAATAAAAAAGTTAGAAGTTGACAGAAGAAAAAGAAAAGAAAATTTAATAACAAAAATGAAGCCCCCATTTTTGCAATTGTCAGAAAAGTTTTAAACATAGAACTGCTTTCGAAGTTTTGGTTTTGAAAGTGAAGAAGAGAGAGGGAAAGCTATGCTCGCGTCCCTTGGTAATTAACATAGCCATATATAAACATTCTTTTGTGGACACACAGCTGCTTTGTATATGTTGACTCTGTGAAACCGTGTCTTATCCGAAAAAAACCTTGTGTTATTCTAAGGAGTCTCCTGATTGTTTCAGTGCAATTTTTACAAAAGAGATTCTTGTAAGAGAGAATAATTCTTCGTTTCAGATGCATCATGATAGCTCGAGGAAACTACTACGTATTTTGTAGGGCTAAAATTGGAAATGGCTCATGCAGTTTACCTAGATGTTAAGGCAAGTCATATGGTTCTAATTTTGTTAATAATACCCTTTGCTGTCTGCATCTGCTAGCTACTTCGTCTTAATCAATCTCCAATTTCTATGTTTCTTATTTGGAATAGGGGACAAAAAGTATGGATATTAGATCAACTACTTTCCTCTAATCAATCTAATTCCGGTTTTTAAGGTATTGAATTATGAACTATTTGATTCCATGCATGTTCGTCCTTGAAAATCAGGAATCAAAATAATGTATCTTTACCAAAATTAATACTACAAGACTTACATTTCAACAGGAGACCATTTCTTGAGTGGATCTTAAGAGTTTTGTGAGTTGTAAGGTCATCTCCAAGTGAGGACTATATTCTCAAATATAGCCCAAAATTCTCAAAACTCATCTTCAAGAGTGTGCTATACAAAGGGCTACAAAAAACGGGAGAACTACACAAAGGACCAATTTCTAAATGAGGGTCACATGTGACCCTTTTGCTAGCCCGAGCTAAATAATTAGATGGGGCCTAGTTGACATCACCTGGTTGTTAGGTGACATCACCTAACCTTTTTTTTTTAATTCGAAAAAAAAATGATTTTTTTATAATTAAAAAATCTAAAAAATTTCTTAATTTTTTGTAAAAATACCTACCTCATTCTTACATAATTTCTCACATCTTCATCATTTTACATATTATCCTTCCTCAATTTTATCCTTTTACATAATTTCCCACAATCTCTTCATTCTTTTACAAACTATCCTTCATCTTTTTCTATTAAACTTAATTTTTAAGTTTTTTTTAGAACTAGAAAAAATCTTATCATAAATCTATAGGGCTAATCACGTGCCGACATGTGGATGTCAAAAATCATATTCCAAAATATTTTTCTCTTCTAAAATGTATTTTAAATAGGATATAAATAGTAGTTTAATTAAATTAACTAATAAATTTACATAATATACTAAAAAAATATTAAATTTAGCCATTTACTGTTGGTGGAGACTATTAAAATATAGTCTGACACTATTCCTTATAAAATCATTTTTTTAAAAAGCTAAATATAACCCCCCCAATATCGTTTTTTTTATTAGTCGGTAGATACGCGTGGACCCCATGAGACAGCCCAGAGACAGTCAATGTTCGTCGTTGTTTGACTTTGAAAAGATAACGTGACAAACACGAGAAGTGGACTAGTATTTTACAAGGAAAGACAATTTCCAGACAACTTTCAAGATTCCTGTACTTGGTTTCCCCTATAAATAGCTTTGGGTATTCTTGCGCATCATATTTGAGTGCACGCCGAAGCATTAGAGGGAAGCAGAGACTTGTTCAACTAAGTAATTTGAAAATTCAAATTGGTAAAAGAGAGGGAAGACAGAGAGAGAGAAATGAGTGTTTTATCGGTGTTTGATCTGCGAGAAAAGGTGGTAGGGAAGAGAGGTGCAGCAACAGCATGCCCTTACTGTGGAGGGCCAGTTTTGGCATGGGACTTTGATGCTCACTTGCTCTTTTGTTTCATTTCCATTTCCCACAAAACCAAGAGGAAGTTTTACTGCACCATTTGCTCCAGGCGCCTGGTTCCTGCTTCTTGATTGATGGCGCTGGGTCCTCATGATATATATCTACAAAATATGGTAAAATAAGTCACTTGAGAGACAAGTGCCAGCATTGTTGTATTAGCCTCTATGGCCTCAAAGAAGGAGTGTAACTATAAAACCCTTGTACTAAAACCCCGAAACAAAAACACACAGAGAGTCGGTTTATTTTATTTTTAGCCTTGTTGTGTTCATTTTGCTTAGTTCACCCACCGTTCATTTTCAAAAAATTTCAGCTGATGGTAATGTGCACCATCGATTAAGGGTGGTGAGCAAAAATACTCCTGTCAATAAAATGACTGAAAAGCTCAAACGCATTAAAGAAAGAAAGAAAGGAAAAAAAGGGAAATGAACGTCGGTGCAAAGCAACAAAAAATACTTTGATTGGAGCCTCCTCTGTCAGCGCCATGAAGTATTGCATTCATAAGCTGGAAGTTTCATTTGACAAGCTAACTTTGTCAGACGCGTTGGCGCCAACAACTACAACAAAGAATTTATTCATAAGAAAAAACCTTTTAAAGAATTTTCTATTTAAAAACCCCACACTTTTTTTTGTTCGCCCCAATACTTAAATTATTAAATTTTAAGTTTTATTATTGTGTAAAAAAGATAAAACATGTCATCCAACTTAATAATTAACCCTAGTACATCTATACACACACTCTACCACTATTCATATTAAGTTTTAGAAAAACACAAACTCCTCTACACTATTGTCATTTTACTCTTCTCTTTCAATCCAAGAAACCTACTACACTCTCATCTTTTCTTCACAAACCATAAATACAGTATGCAAATCATAGTTTGTGGGTCATCAATTGATGTATGTAATGTGAGATTATTTCTTAGTTTGAGACTCCTCCCAAAATTATTGAGGAGTTTATTTCTTAGTCTGGGACTCTACCCATATTATTTCTTGGCTTGGGACTCCTCTCAAAATTATCTTCCTTGACCTTCAAGCTTCAGTTCAGAGACCAAAAGAAGAAGAAGAAAGAAAAAAAGACATAAGCAACTGGATGTAGCTTGTAGCTTCCTGAAACTTGTGCTGACGGACCAGGGTAACTCAATCTAAAAGAGCAACACAACACAATCTGTTTTGATTGGATTGGAGTGAATAATCAATGAAGTAATTAGCTCAATAGATCAATTATATTCATCAATGGAGTATATAGCTCAGTAGAGCAATCATACAACAGAACAGAGTCTATGTGACGTTTACTTGTGATATAAAGGACATATAGTTGATGAGTTTTTTATTCATCAATGGTGTCGGGTGTGAGGTTTGATGGAGCTAGGAAAAATATAAAGAGGAGAGGTAAGAGTTACTTTAGGTTGTGAGAGTTGTGGGCATTATATTAAGAAGTCTAATGTAGATTCAGATGACGAACATTTTGTTGGATTACAATCAATATAAAACCAAAATAACAGAATAATAAAGACCAACGAATATATTTTATATAGATATAATTGAATCAATACAACAATAATATAGATTGTAGAATACTGACTTGAATTGTAGATAGAGTCCTGCAAATTTGCAGTGTCCTTTAGACAGTATTTCTCCTCTACCCTTGTGCTTGTAGTTCGATAGGAGTCTGTCCACCAGGATTAAACTATCTTAAATCTAAGCCTAAGCACAGTGGCTTGATTTCTGGCGAACAGTGGTATGAATTCTCTCAGGAAGTGTAAAATGTGAGAATGATGATGCAGTTCAAAGGTTTCTTTCTGGTTTGATCGTATTGTCATTATATAGAGGTCTGACACCTCTTCATCCAACAGTTATGTTAACTGTTTTAATTAATTCGAATTTCAGATTTTGGTTTTATCTGAAAAACCGAATTTTTCAATTAATAAAAAATAAATTATTAATTAAATCAACAGAGCCCAAGAGCCCCAAGGCCCAAGGCCCATCTTTTGACAATTAATTATATATATATTTATTACACACAAATATATATATAATCCAAGCTCAAACCATGTTGAGGCTCAAGTTTGCCTCCACTAGGCTCATACTCTATTTAGTAATTCTAATGTGTTGGTGCTTATAAACTATGGAAGAAAACTACTCTCTTCCAATGTGGGACTACATGCAAGTGTATTTTCCTATACAAACTCTAACACATTTGGGTGTAGGGTGTGTGGTGCAGGGGTAGATCTAGCCCTTTTTCAATTAGGCGGCCGCCTGGCCGAGATTTTTCAAAAAAACATAGGTACAGTACAAATATACTTAACATATATGAAAGAGAATTTATTAATAATAATAATAATGCAGCGATAATTGAAGAATTTAAGGGGCGTTTGGTATCTTATTCAAATAGGGAACTCAAAAACTTTGATTTTTCTTAAAAACAAGGAGTTCTTAAATCTATCTTTAAGATTCAAAAATTTGTGTGGTATGCAATTTGAAAATTGTTTTCAAATCTTAAAATTTTGAGAACTTGTGAAACTGAAAAAACATATATTTTTTGTTTTTAATAATTGGGATGTTTTTTAGTTGTTATTGAGTTTGAGTTTTTAAAAATAGGACTACCAAACAAGTTTTCTCTATTTTAGACTCAAATTCTATTTTTAAGTAAGCATGGACGGATCATCCTTATGACTAACTTGGACTATAGCCTAGGCAATTTTTTATTTTTTTTTAAACCCCCCCCCCCCCCCCCCCCCCCCGGCGCGGGATGCGGCGGGGGGTTCCCAAGTTCCAATCAACATGTTAATGGACCTCAAGTTCCAATAAACCCATGTAAATGGACCACAAGTTCAATGGACCCCAAGTTCCAATCAACCCATGTAAATGGACAAGAAGTTCAATTAAATGGACCCTAAGTTCCAATCAACCCATGTAAATGGACCCCAACTGA